GGTTGTGCCGAATTTTTTAAATTAGGCAATCACTATTAACCAAACGTGATTTACATATTTCAGTTACAATTTCGAATTCGGATTAGAGAGGGGGATCTGAGCAAACTAAAAAGATTAGGGGTAATATAAAGAAAAATTATAAGCTTAAGGAGTTTTGTCAGGAGGTGATAAGTATGGGTGGGATGTGAATAGATTGGGCAAATGTATTTATAGGGGATTTTAGAGAGTCAACCCTATTTATATTTACTGTAAAAAATTTTTTTATTAATATAAATATTTATTAATTGATGTTTATCTCTCTCTATATATATATATGTATATATGTATTATAGGGACTTAAAATATGGTTATCATGTGTTATATTTTAATTTTGGAATTGAACCATGGTTTATCTAAATTATTTAAATTTCATGATATAATTTATCTATTTATACATATAATTTTTATAAATATGTTTAACAATTTTTATCGATATCTACCCATACCAATTCAGATCAAATTAGTTCTTAATCTCACACCAACCTACAATGTATTTTAAAATTAAAATCACATCTACATAATAAACAATTCATTTATCCTATCCTACTATATATTAAATGAGAAGTCACTTTAGTGATTTTTGCTTAGATGTCATTCATAGATGAAGTTTAGAATTAATTCTTTTAATTTGATTGGTTGTTGGTATTTAAACTTTTATTTACTTAATTAATGTTTTTAAAAGGAAACTAATAACATAATTACCTTATCTAACTATCTTACCAAATAAACAACCAAACATCTTAAATATAAACAAATTAACATAATTTATTAATTGAAATTTATTATCATAGATTACATTATATAAATTATTTAAATATAAATGGATATTTGCAAATCTTAGTCTCTCCGATAAAATGATGATCCAAAAATATTTTAAAATGTTATATTTTTAGCGAATACAATAATTAATATAAACCTAATAATAATTATACCCACTATATACATATATTCTAAAAATATATCAAATATATGTAAAATAGTCATATATATAATTAAATAAAAACCAATCATTTTCAATGACAAAATGGTATTGTAGTTGAATTATATTAATACGAGACTATAGTTATTATATTCATATATAATAAAATTGGCATGTTAATTTTTAATAAAAATAGACATAAATAAAAAAAAACATCAGTGAATAATAATAAAACCTTTTTTTGTATTTTTCCTGATTTTATATTTTTTCCTACATCATTTTTTATTTGTATACTGAAATATTTTCTTACGTATTAGTATAACTGTAAACTAATTAGTTTTAGGTGTTTATACAACATAAAAAAATTGAGCAAGGGAGATAAATATAAATGATAAGTTCTAAATTATTAATGTCGAAAATGCAAAATATAACATAAATTAACTTTAAAATAAAACTATTTTCAAATAATTATAAGTATGGATGATAATTATAAATATAGATGATCAGTTCCAAATCTTTTGCGGTATAATAATTTTTTAAATGTATGATAACAAACTTTATACAAATAGAAACATGTTATTTTGATATATCTATGTCTAATAACATCACATTATTTAAAAGTTTAGATATTTTTAGGATATATAATTAGTTAATCATATTTTTTTGAAATACAGTAAATCAGATTTACTTAAAATAGGTGTGTATTGAAGTAATTTAAAATAATAATAATATATTTTTTAAAAATATTTATTTTCTAATGAAAGTCTTGGTCAAATGAATCATTATTTGATAAGATAGTGTGAAAATGTGAGAGAATTTAATGGGAAAAGAGCATATTCCTACCCAAACAATTTCAATCGTACCAAATACAACCCGAACAAACATCCAGTGCCAAATACGACCTGAACTACATTATAATTCAAAAATACTACCTGAACTTTTTAAAACGTGCATAAACCTACATTGACCGTAACAGAAGTTAGTCAACTGTTAAAATGATAAAACGATGTCGTTTCGATTTCCTTATTTTTTTAAAAATATGAACATTCCGGGATTCGAACTCGGGCCTTGCCACTATTTAAAACAGACATATCAACCACTAGACTAAAGCAATTTTTTTACTTTTTCATCTTCTCTAATTAAAACTTTACTTATTATTATTATTTTTGATTCTTATTAATATATTAACATATTTAATAAACTTATAAATACTAAAATATAAATAATAAAATATTTATAATTATACAAAATTAAATATATTCATGTTTTGAAACTTTTTACAAAATGTCCATATATAAATTATTTTAAAATTTTAAAACTTGAAAGTTAATTTCTTTTGTTTCTTAAAATTAATATAAGCTGAATATACTTTACCAAAATAAAATAAATTACCATTAAATTTTATTTTTAAAATAATGTATATATGGACATTTTGTAAATAGTTGAAAAACATGAAATATATTTAATTTTGTATGATTATAAATATTTTATTATTTATATTTTAGTATAATATAAGTTTATTGAAGATATAATAATTACAAAATATGTTAATATATTTATAAGGATCAAAAATAATAATAACAAAAGTTTTAATTAGAGAAGATTAATAAGTATAGTAGCATATATAATTGCAAATTTGTAATATTTTTTTAAAAAAAATTGCTTTAGTCTAGTGCTTGATGTGTATGTTTTAAATAGTGACAAAGCCCGGGTTCGAGTCCCAGAATGTTCATTTTTTAATAATAGAATCAAAACAACGTCGTTTTATCATTTTAACGGTTGACTAACTTATATTACGATCAATGTAGGTTTAGGCACGTTTTAAAAAGTTCAGGTAGTATTTTTGCATTATAACGTAGTTCAGGTCGTATTTGGCACTGGATGTTTGTTCGGGTTGTACTTGGCACGATTGAAATTGTTTGGGTAGAAATAGGCCCTTTTCCCGAATTTAATAATGAATTTGTTTGGTTAACTTGTTGTGAGTTCAATTGTGAGTTCTACGTTAAAATCTAAATAAAAAATAGGTGAGAGAGGGAGAGATGTTGATGAGGAGGAGTGAGGGTTATGATCATGATGAATATGAGAGTGGAATATGTGAGAGACTGAATGTAAGTGAGATAGATCATGAAATCATTTATTAGTATTATGTGAGAGTGTTTTGAAGATTTAACAAAATCTGGTAAAAAAATTGTAACAAAAAAAGAAATACAAAAAGTTTGAAAGTAAAATATTGAGGGTTATAATAAAGATGGGTAAAAGAGCGAATATAAATGATTGTAAGTTTGAAAGATTTTGAGATTATTTGATCAAGAGAAAACGAAAAGGGAAAGCAAGTGAAAGAGGTACAATGACAGACAAAAAAAACGGGAAGAGAGATACATGAATGTGTGTGAAAAAAAATAAGAAAAAACGAAATGAATAAAATAGAAAGATATACAAGGAAAAATGGAATACCTACGTAGCAGAGAAAATAGAGTTGCAGTGCATTTATACACTCATATCAATTTCTATGTAATGTATAGTTATATTAATGTCCGCACAGGCGTAATGGCGGTCTACCTAGTATACTAATATTAACATAAATTATATAAATATACTTGAGTGTAACTATTTTAATAATAAATACATGTATTTGGAACTATACGTTTGGTTTACATAATCTTGGTTATACACACACACACACATATATATAAAATTTCGAATCTACATATATATTAATATTTTGAGATCCCGTATTTTATTCAATAAAAATGTTGTTATAAAAAATAAATATAGTAGAACATACGATTTTTTTTAAAAAATAGACTAGGTAAACTATATAGTTATGAAGGTAGATTTAAAACTATTATAACAAAAAAAATTCCATTTATATTGTAGTTACATTATATATAATTCAATTTTTTATTAGAATCAGTTATATTACTGTTAATTTAAATTTTGTAATAAAATTAAAAATAATATTCGCGCGTTTGCGTGGATTTTGAATCAATTATCTTTACAAAATTCTACAAAATTAGATATCAAATTCATGATAATTTTCAAAAATTAAAGAAAAAATGTTATACTTGTTTAAAAACATCTTATTAAATTTGCATATAGTTTTATTTTCATAAGGTATTCATAAATATATCTTCATGGACGTGTTACTCAATACACATTTACGAAAATTACCTAAATTTTATGAAACTACTATAAATTTTTATCAATATCTTTCTATAAATATATTATATTTATCAGGAATGTTTTTCTAAATTTTAATTTAAAAGATATCACACATATTAAGGAAAATGTATTTTTAAATCAATTCAGAAAGATGTCATATATATATTTAGGATGCTCTTCATAATTTTTTAAGAAACAAAATCATTTTGTATGAAAGAAAATTTAGATAAATTCACAAAAAAATCATTTTTGTTTTGAAAAGAATTAAAATTGCTTTTACAAAGATTTATTTACTTTTAATATAAAGTAGGAGCATAATTATCATTATATTTTTAATGAAATTTATGATGGTCACTTTTAACTTTATGTGGTATTTTTGTAGTAAGAGCTTTTTTAGTATTATTCTATGATATTCATCTTTTTATATAGGTTATAATACCAATGTAAATATAAATAGATAAATATATTTAGAAAAAGAAAACAGCTAATGCAATTGATGGTTCCAAACAATATACAAAGTACGAACTAAAAAACTGTTTTATTAAACACACATTTAATATTGGTAAATGTCAAGAATATATAATATCAATCATAAAAAAAAAAAAAAAATTAATCAATATAGCACACACACGCAGATAATGTTTATGGAGGAGGTCCACTTAAATGAACTCTACATATCTCTGACATATAACAAGAAACAACTGGGGAGAAATTTATTCATGAGAGACACATACACACTGTGACGTCTGTTGGAAAAAAAGTTTTACGGAAATACAAACTGCATTTTGTTTTGTTCATGAAAGTCAAACCATGCATAACAGAGTTTGAAATAAACAAAAGTAGAAAGGAGTAACGAACATAAGCCAGTTGGCTAGTTTTCACAGAGTGACGACCCCTCAAAGCTTACGAACAGTGTGACAAACATAAGCCAGTTACGAACAGTGTGACAACCCCTCAAAGCTTTCGAATGTTTCATCATCAAAAGGGTAGCCTTCACTTCCATACAAGGCATTCAAAAGGTTGCTTCTGGTAATTCACCCTCTGCATTCATAATTGGACACTGCTCTTTCTTTAGGAAAAGGTTCATCAGAGAATTTCCTTATATTAGAAGTAAACTGAAGCCATCCTTCATCTATCAGCAATCCTGGCCATTCAGGGCTTTCTGGTTTATTGATGTCCTGAGTCGGCTCTATGAAGACAATATCCGAATATAACAAGCGAAGCAGCTCGAGGTAGAAGAGGTCAGCTATGAATTGATCTGAGGCTAGAACCAAATTTCGAGGACGACCAGTGTTCAAAAGGAAAATAATGTCATTTGCCATTCTAATACGTCTCGAGTCTTTATCCCCTGAAAAAAAACATAAAAGATGAGTGGAAGTGAGAGTATAGGTTTACACAGTAGTAGATATAAAGAAAAAGAGTGGAAATCACATCACCTCCGGGAAGAAAGTAGATTCTGGAATCCCACGTCTTGTTGTCCACCAGTAAATCATCCCTCCAAGAACCTTTCTTGTCATCATCAAGATAGGCCCAGATTGTAATATTATCAGTAAAGTGCCTTTCCACAAGAGCTGATGCGATAGATTTGTAGATGGCATCAGGAGTGGAGCCAAGAGGGAATGGGCAATCCTCTCCATCCCAGAAGACGGCTGTCATATCCTCTTTGACCAGTCTGATAGGCTCTGATCCATGCCAAAAAAAAGTTTAAAAAACTATGAAATCTAAAACAAAACAACTTGTGATGATGGTCTTACCGAGGAAATCTAAGATCTTGGAGGGGTCTTCTTCTTCTTCTTCTTCAACATTAGAGGTGTAGGTGTAGGCGTAGGGGTAAGGGTAAAGGTCTTCTTGGTCTTCTTTGCACTCTTCTTCACCCTGGGAGAGATCTTCTTTGCCCTGGGAGCAGGGCCGGCCCTGAGCAATGCCTAATGAAACATTTGTTTCAGGCCCCCAAAAATTTTGTAGAAAATTACATGAGTATAAGCCCTCAAAAAAAATTTTAGGCCCCCAAAATTTTTTTTTACATAGAAATCGTCAAAGGCCTCCAAAATCTCAGGGCCGGCCTTGCCTGGGAGAAATCTTGTTCTTCTTCTTCAACATAATGTGCATGACCAAGCAGAGATTCTACACCAAAGCTAAACTTTTCATCAGGCGGATCTATTAGGAGAACAGTGACACCCCTCGATCTCAAACACTTGAGAACCCTAATTAATTCCCCTTTTGGTTTTGCGATTACTGCAAAATTCGCATTCTCACAAGTCAATCCGTACTTAGCCAATGTACTAGTCATATCCATAGTACTCACTTTGTCATCCATGCACGCTCTTATAGATGGGGGGTAAGTAGATTATTCCGGCATCCCTCAACTCTTCTATTTTGTTGCACTCGAGATGCTTACAATGCACATTGACAAGCTTAAATCCAAGATAGCCTAATCGACCAAGAGCTTCTTCGATATTAATACGTATTGAAACAAGATCATCGATATCAGCAGGGATCGGATAGTCATCCATGTTCCACATGACCGTTGTTTCATTCCCTACGAGTAAGAGAGATAGAGGACAAGGCATTACTATGGCGGATCCAAAAATCTAACAAATAAATTAATGAGAGAGGGAGAGAGATCTTACAAGAAGAAAACCCGATGTTCTCCCTTTCTTTGCCCATGGTTCAGGATCGGAGACTTTCTCGAGAGCCTTTGAATCTGTGAATCAGAGAGAGTTTTTTTTTTCTTTTCTTGCGGCTCCCCCTCCCCTCGCTGAGATATCCCTATCTCTCTGACTCCCATGTTTTCTAACCCTACCTTGGATCACAAATAAGTGCGTTGGCAAATTCTCAACCGTCAGATCTGTTTTTTTTTTTTTTTTTTGGGATGTACCCTAGAAAGTCCCTTGGATCTCCATCATTCGTAATAGCCCAAGACCCGAGTTAACTCATGATCCATTTTTTCTCCACTTGGCGTGGTAGCATTTACAATTATTCCCTTTCCCATATTTCCCGCAGAAGCAGCAAAGGAGACAGAAGTAGATTATGAGAATGAGATGAATGGACTCGAAAGTGATGAAGACGATGATGATGATGATGGGTTTGATGGGGAGATGGATGATACCGAGGACGGAGATGAAGCAGAAAGCAAGAAAATGTAAAAGTTAGTTGCAAAGGTTTGTCAAGTGCTTGTATAGACATCACTTTCAGATGCGCAGAGGTTTCCAGAACCTGAATCAGTCACTGGACTTCAATTACCAGGCGATCGCAAACGGAATAGCACAGCATGCAGAGGTGAGAAGAGTAGAGATGGAGAAAGAGAAGCAAAAGAAGGCAGCAAAGGCTGCTGCTACTCCTGCTCGTGCTATATGATCCTTAAGCTTGGATTATCAAAGCCGTAATGCCCGTGATAAGCACAAACAATTCATTTTGGTGAGATTCTCGTTCATTCATATTAAGCATTGCCTCTTGCTTCCAAGGTTATACAAACAAAGAAGCAGATTTTTTGTGTGGATTTTAGCAAAAAAAAAAAAACATCATCATCTCCATAGCCTTGTGAAACCGTGTGGTTGCGGTCAGAAGGTTTGAATGTGTTTGGTGAGATTGATTGAAGATGATGGAGTGTCTCTTATGGTCTGAAGAAACGGTGTGAACAAACAATGATTCTTCTTCGTCTTCAATGGTTGTGTTGTGTCTCCTCCTGTATGTGGGGGATTTTTGTGTACTCTTTTTTATCCATATTCTTACTTCTGCACAAATTGTCTCTGGTCTTTTTTGGGATGGTTTAGATTTTTAGGAAAGATTTTGAATTTTTTTATCTCACAAAGATCAGCAAAGGTCACTCATCAGGTTGTACGACCATTCTTTCATAAAGTGGAAATTATTCTGCCAACCAGAAGTTTTTTAATGTATTTAAGTAAAATACCAATGATTAATTATCCTAAGTCTTACAGTTCGATCCAAACTTGAAGGAAAATAACAAATATGATCATGGCTTTCTCTCTAGGAGAAAGAAAAAAAACAAAACAAGAATCTTATGAAACAAATGAATAAATAGTCAGAACCAAAATGAGATCACGAGGAAGAACAACAAGAGAAACCGAAGCCTTGATTGGAGCCCTTAATTGTCGTCCTTTACCAGACTAACCCTGTTCTTCCCGCTCAGTTGGGTCTTATATGTGTCGGAGTTGAGTTGTTTCCGGCTAACATTAGTGTAGATGTCTCGGATCACCATCTCAAAAGCAGTTTTAACGTTTGTTGAATCAAGAGCCGATGTTTCCATGAAGAATAGTCCTTGAGCTTCCGCTAGAGCTTTGCCCTCTTCCACAGTCACAGCTCTCATGCTTTCTAGGTCGCACTTGTTTCCCACCAGCATTCTTGCCACCGTTTTATCCGAATGTGCTGCCCAAAACAAATGAATCAACAAAATTTTGACAAATCAACATTTAAATCAAAACTGAGCGTATGAATCTTTACCCTGTTTAACAAAATTCAGGGGAATTAAGAGCAGTTTACCTAATAAGAATCAAGTTGAAGTTAAAGAACGAAGAATGGACATTTTGTTACCCTGCTTTCTTTATTATAGCAAGTGAAAGATCCATTTTACCAGTTCTCTCTTGTTTTAGTAAGTCGCCATGTTTATAATATCCAAAACAATATGTTTTTGATTCCTAGCTAAACTACTTTACTTGCGTCCTAAGAAACACATATGTCTTCATAAAACCTTGAGATCTAAATAGTCCATACAATAGTAAAAATTCAAAATCCACCAAATCTAGGGAAGAAAGTCCAGAAACTTCTACAAAATACAAGTTAAGCCTTTTGCATTTTTTGTCAAAAAAAACAAGGACCTAATTGTTAGCAAAAACCTTACAATATTCAAAATCAATTGCTAGCTTAGCTACGAAAACTTACTCTTGAGCTCATCGAGCCAACGTCCAACGCTCTCGAAGGTACTGCGACGGCTGATGTCGTAGACAACAAGTGCTCCGACAGCGCCGCGGTAATAAGCGGAAGTGACGGCACGGAAGCGTTCTTGACCAGCAGTATCCCAAATCTGAGCTCTGACTTCTTTGCCTTCAATCTCCATGCTCTGCGTCTGGAACTCGACGCCGATCGTGGCTTTAGAATGGGCGTTGAACTCGTTTCGTGCGTAACGAGAGAGGCAGAGTCGCCGATTATCACAATCTTGAAGAGATACTCCTCTCCTCCTTCATCATCCGACGACATTGTTGTTCGTGATTTCTAAGGAGAGAGAGAGTTTGTGACTGGTTTTAGGTTTGAGAGAGAGAGAGGTTTGTGTGAAAGAGACAAGCTGGCGAGGAGGACGACATACTGCGCATGAAGTGGTTCAAATCATTTCAGAATCATCATTATTAAGTTTTTTGAATTATTATGTGCCGTGAAATTCGGTGGAATTAATATATTTTATTTACAAAAAAATAATGAGGGAGAATGGGCTCAAGTATGTTATGTTTACCCAAACAAAGCCCATTATAAATAACGTTAAAGTGGGTCTGTGTTCATGGTCTGCTGTGAAAAACTATAAGAAGTATGGTGATTAGGTACAATAAACACGATTCGTACGTTAATTAATTAATATTTATACAACTAATGGGTTGAATAATCAAGACAGTTATAGAAGACCGATTATCACATAGTTACATTCGTTACGTTAAAAAGGAAATGAAGAGACCTTCGGTCCAAATTTTCATATGCTTTAGGGGGACATTCACCTTTTTAATATCAAATATATATGGATAATATTCAAGGGGCCAACGTTTCCTTTTCAGTCTAACTTTAACCCTATGGTCGGTCATGTTCCCATTTTACAGTTTACACGTCAGACAAAGACGACTGATAAGGAGGGAGGAAATCACCTAAAACTTTCTCTTTTTTTTTTTTAACAAAAAAAAAAATTGAAGATAGTAAATATAAACCTATTTGGAGATAGTAAATATAAACCTATTTGGTTTTATCAGATTTTTTTAAAGATATGACTGGAACTATATTTCCATCTAAATCAAATACAGTAAAAATTAAGCAGTAGATTTTAGAAAATTAATTTATTAGTTCAAGGATATAAATTAAGTATTTGATCGTTAGAAAAGAGGTAATTCATTGGAAAAACAAACAAAACCCAAAAGTTCAGTAAAAACCTAGAAATAGCTAGCATTTTATAATTTTAAATAATCCTAGGTTTTGAACGGCGGCGATTCTGAATGTTTATTTTATCTTATTCAACTTTGTATTATTTTTCTGAATTTGATAAAAGAAATATTATATATTTATGGATTATGAGGATTTTAAACTGGTATTAATTTAAAATGAATTTTGTAACGAGAGTGAAGACCATCTTCTAGCAAAAACAATAAAAACTGTAAAACTACTGGTACAAAGTCTTTAACCGTCAAGTTTTGTGACTTTGTCATTTATCATTTTAAGGCATTAAAAATTTTAAAATGTATATTAATTAATGATCTATTAACTTGTACTATACTGTATGTTGTAACGTGGTACTGTTATGATTGGTTGGGCTGTAAACATATTCGACAGCAATTACACATATTTCCACCATTTAAATTCTAATCAAACTTTAAGTAATTTAATAATTTCATATAAATACAGCTTAAATATTTTTTTTATTCATACTTTTCTAAAATAAATTATTAAATGTTTTAAAAACATAGATTTTTACTAACAAAAAAATACAATTACAGCTATAAAAACTACAAACTGAATTCTGAAACAAAATTTCTAGACCTATCAAAGTTATAAGACTGAACCATCGTTTAGATATATATCAAACATCTTTAACCGTTACTTTTAGCCCTAACTGGTACGAATCATTTCCCATCACCAACCAATCAGAATCCAGTAACAATAAAGCTGTTTTAGACTTGGAATGTTTAGTTGCAAAGAAAAAAAAAGACTTGGAATGTTTTCTTTCACAGAAAGCCAGATAGATACCTTCCGGTCATGTTTTCACGTTGGCGACGACTTCTGTCGGAACCTAGCTATCACACACACACATTTCTTCTAAGAAATCATCTACTTTGAATCATTTAAACGACAATATAAAAATAATAAATAACCTATGTTCTCACATAAGAAATTGAAGGCGAACATTCCCTAACGTTGATCAAAATTTGACCTAACTTACCGAGATGTGGAAGAACAGAAAGAGACTATATATGTAGTCATCTTAAAATACACGTCAAACTAGAGGGAGTGTTCACTTAGTCAATTCTTATTTGCATGTAACATATAATTAACAAAAAAAATATAGAATTAACAAAAAAAAATATAGAAAAATAATTAAATATATGCCGTTTAAATATATGCCGTTTACACATCAGAACCAAAATAATTTAGACCTACTGTTTGAAATACAGAATTACAGCTAGGGAGAATGTTGGTTAAGTCAGTGTTTTTTTCGCCTAGCTAATTAAAACTAGTTTTCATGAAAGTTTAAAAGACGTTAAAGAGCAAGTAATTACAAAATACCAAAATAATTTTCAGCTAGATAGCCTAGATTGTATCAATTTTCCATGTGATATTTCATGGTTACTAGTTTATATACTTTTAATTTCAAATTCACTAAATTTTAATTATTTTAAAATTGTAAATGCGAATAAATGTTACACTTACAAAGGATGTGTCTCCATTTTCGCGTTTGAAACTCTGAATTTTTTAACATTATCTTTGAAATAATATTGATACTAACCAGGATAAAATAGTTTGTTTCTAAACAACCTCAAGCTAGTCCAGTGGTAAAAAAGATTACGAATGTAACTTCTCTCACTTGGATTCAACAACCTCAAGCTAGTCCAGTGGTAAAAAAGATTACGAATGTAACTTCTCTCACTTGGATTCAACTCGTTATGAGAGATTATTTACAATACTTGAATTTTTGACAAAGAGATGAAATCACTTTTTCTTTTTAATCAAAAAAAAAATTGTTTCTAGAAATTCTACATCAAAGTGACACTTCTCATATGGACTAAATCACCTTTAAAATAATATCTTATTAAAGACCAAATGTAAGAATTGTGATTGAATCTATCCTGCGAAAATGTAAACATTCTTTTTAGTAGAAAACACTAAGACGACTTTCTTACGAATGGAAGAAGTACAATTTAGTTGTATGCATAAACGCTAATGCAAAATAACGTTAATGCAAAACATAAACAGAAAACAGTCTACAACTTTGGTGATCAAAAGAAGTTTTGTAACTTAAAAATAAGTTTAAAATGACATTTCGTTTTTGTGAAAGAGAAGAAGTACAAGTTAAATATATATGCATAAAGATAACTCCAAAACAGCTTACAGTTCTTATATCTAGGGGATTTTTATAGCCATCAGCAATTTAACATAGATACTTTGTACAGATAAACTAATAACTACTTGTTCAATTTTTTTAAAAAAAAAATTGGAACATTTAGTTCTAGAAAATATTACAATACAACATATGATTAGAGACAGAAGAAAGTAGATTTATGACGTTGCTCCAATGCATCATTTGTTGTCCCTTCAAGAACTTCAGCTTCTCACCCCTTCGCTCCAAAAAATCGAAGGCCATATTTTCACTGCTCTCTTCCTCATCGGTATCGGCTGATCTCGAGCCTATTCTCCGACAATTAAGAAGATCTATATAAGTCTGGAGATCATGAACGCAAGACATGTTTTGAACATCAAAAAACTCTAGTGTGAGTTCGACCCCAACATGAGCATAACATGAACAACTCCATGGAAGCTCATAGAAACCACCTAAAACCCTAAAATTCTCATTAAATAAAACACCGGGAAGTTTAGTGATCGGATCATTAACGTTAGTGATCCTCAAAACCTTCACTCCTAGCTCCTCGCAACGTTTCTTGAACCCCAAGTTACCAACCCTAGGACCGGCAAAAGAAAACACAGTCACGGGAACATCTCTTTCACCGATCTTCTTGTTTAAACCGAGTTCCGCAATGTCGTAAGCAAGAAGATGAGCTAATGAACTTCCCATGCTATGTCCAGCGAGTGTTATACTCATTTCTTCTCCTTTGTACCTATTAATCAATCTCGAGATTTCGGACAGAAGCTGTTGTCTACAGCTCTCTAGTCCGAACTTGCTCTCACTCTCATCGGATGTGTATAAACTCAAGAACCCTGATTCAACCTTCACATCGGGCCGCGTGTTATGAGGATGGAACCTAGCCGGAGCCAAAGAGCTCATGAAGTTTGCTAACCATTCAGGGTTAGTCACCGTTCCACGAAATGTAACCACGATGTCTCTCCTCCCTAAACGTTTTACTGAATCATCAGATGAAACTGCAACGTAACCTACCCAACGTGCGCCCTTATCGGCCACGTTTTGGATCGGACGGATGTTGATGTTTATGTCCGGCGTGGCGTAGATGTATTTGGTGACTTGGTAATCCTCAGGTTGGTCGATTCCGGTTTCTCTAAGTAAGTTTTTTTTACCATACTTGCAGTTCAAGTAACGTTTTGAAGTAGGGTTTAGATCAAAGGCCTTGTAACAAGTGGAAACTAAGTTTCCGTAGCGAGTGATCTCTTGTTGGAGAAGAGGATTTAAAGGTTGGATAAGATCTTGCCAGTTGTTACATCCTTGTATCTCTCTCCAAACCCGAGACAATGGTATAGTCGCTTCTGCACTGAAGCACGGTGCCTGAGCATGAGATATACGAGGAGAAGCAACCGGAGAAGTTAGAATATGTGGTGCTAATACTGAATAGGAAGAAGAAGAAGAAACTACAAGTCTTTTGGAGGTGTGAATGTTGGAATTGTAGAGAGAGGTAGGATAAGGAAGAGAGAGTGTATGCTGTAGATTTTTATCTGGTCTTAGAATTGGAATATGTTTCAAATTAGGGTTTTGGACCAGAGATCTAGCTGCCATTGTTGGAAAACGGCCTAGGAATAGAGAGAGAAAGAGAGAGACAGAGAGAGAAGTTGGAGTAAGTGTTAAGAGATACAAAAGTATGTATGTGTAGGCATACTTATAGCGAGTTTCACATGTTTTAGCGTGTATTTGACTGAGAAAATTAGCTTAAAATATTCGAATTGCGATCGTTTTGTGACAAATAA